ATTCATGTTTTAAAACTTGATTTTGAGCTTGAGGTTCAAATCTGGGAATTCCAGATTTTGAACTCACGCTCGAGCGTGAAATTCGTGCTCCTAGTGCTTTGCACTATTTTGAGGTCCGCTGGAGCGGAGTAATTTACGCTCGAGTGGGACCTTGTGTCTTACGCTCGAGCGGGTGTCGAGCACCCAATCGAGCATGAATTTCACCTATCCAGCACTTTTGACTATTTTGCAGTACGCTCGAGCGGGTAAGTCTGCGCTCGAGCGGAAACCTTTGTCTACATGTCCGCTCGAGCGGAGTGATCGACGCTCGAGCGGGACCCCTGCTTTCTAAAAATCCTAAAAATGCTTTTAAAGTGCATCTTTGCATCCTCATCCCATCCTAGGCATTCTTAGGCCTAGCTTAAGGCATCTTAATGAGGATATTGATGTAGAACCACACCGAGTCAAGATAGGGATTAAGTTATATTTTCCCAACTGTATAGCTTAGTGTGTGTTCACTCTATAACTGTGTAGGGTTGGCATCCGGAGACGCGCTCTAGCTTATCTATAGCCCAAAACTCTGTGAGTAACAACTGTGTAAAGATATGTTCAAATATGATTATCTTCTGAACAATTGAACTGTACTGTTTTCTGAAATGATACTGTTACTGAATGAATGATGTCCTAATTGTGAACTGTATTGTGGTATCCTTAGCAACCTACTGTTACTTTGTTATACTACTACTGTCACAGAGATCTCTATCAGTTCCCATGTTGGAACCACTACTGTTTACTGATATGATGGCCATCAACTAACTGTTCGATCTGATAAAACCTACTGTACTGTTTTGCTACTCGATGTACCACATATGATTGTAATGACTGAATAACTGATATGCTAATTGAAATGATTGTTTTCAATACTGTAAGGACATTCATTCTTAACCTCTTTACGCATTATGTTATTCACTGGGCTTTAGCTCACTGTTTCTATATATATATATATGTAGGTGTTCAGGCACCAAACCGGGGCTAGGAGTGTGGGTTAGACTCCCCTTTTTGTCAAGTCAACCATTGTGCCTCACTGCGAGGTTCCGAGCCTGCCAAGCTATGGCTCAGGGGTGTTTTAATTTCCCCCGTCTGTCTCTGTGTCTGTTTTGTAATGTTGTATAGACTGATAGCACTGTACTGTACTGTTTCAATAGGGATTAAGTCCCTGTCCTGAACGATTGTAAATGTTGTACATACTGTTTTGCACCGATGGTATATGTGTATGAAAAGTCTTTTTGCATACAAACTGTCACAGCTCATTGGACATTGTTCATTTACTGTTTTGGCTTCCGCCATGCCCCTGTACTCTGTATTATTGTTTGACCGTTAAGCAAACCTTCGGTAATCACGGATTACTGGCCAGTTACGGTGCTAAACCCATAGGGGCGGGTTTGGGTCGTGACAAATACCATATTAAACAAGAGTTCCATGAGGTGGAACTGACAGATCTGTAATCATTCAAATGGTGCCAGGGTTGCCATAGTAAACAAAGAAAATAGTGATAAGATTATCATTCGTTAACACAGGAAACTTTCGAAGTAATGCGTAAATTCGTAGCAAAGAAAGGTAATTGAAATTAAACATATTTGTATAACAGTGTTACTCACAATCAGTTCTGTGTTGCAGATGATTGGAACAAGACGTTTGACCTACACAAACAGATATAAGCGTTGTTCACTTAAAATGTAGTTTATTCTTGTTAAATGCTCATACAATGCAAATGGACATCAATTATGGGTGTGAAACACGCTAAGGAAGGTCCAGAAGTGGGGTAAATAACACAGAAAAGTGGAACTGAGGCCATCAAATAACCGCACGTGTGGAGGTCATTGGCCACACGTGTAGGACCCTCTCCACACGTGCGTCATTAGGTGTTTTTTAAGCAGAATGCTCCCCAACATTCCCCTGTTCTCCGCACGTGCGGGCCTACCCGCCGCACGTGCTCCAATGCACTCCCGCGCGTACGGGGCTCCCTTACCACACATGCGGTTCTGGGTGTTCCAGAACCAAGTTTTTGCCTTGTTTTTGGAACTTCAACACACCAAAAATCAAACCCAAATTCACTCAGATTAAGGACCAAAAATTAAGGAACATGGTATAAAAACAATTACCTAGAATAGGACTTAAAATTCATACATCAAATCCCTTAATCTCATAAACACTTAAAGATTAAAGAGGGAATGCACATGGTAATTCTATGTCTTAACAAAATTATAGAAATATGACTTAAATTCATATAAAACCATAGGAATGAGCAAGGTTATGGAATACCTGCAAGGTTATGGGAAAATCCCTCTCATTAGGGTTTCTAGCTCAACTTACACCACCCAATCTTTCCCCCACTCCTCAAATTCCATGAATTCAAGATGAAAATTAATCTCATGCAAGAAATTAAGAGGAAATTTTACCTTAATGTGTTAATTGATGAAGTTGTCTCAATTTCTCTCATTCTTCTTCTTGATCACTCACCCAAGCTCAACTCTAGAACACACACACACACACACACACACATACTCTCTCTCTCTCTCTCCCAGATTATATCTCTCTATTTTCCTTACTAATTAGAGCCACATATACATATATCTAGATATTTAATTTGCCTATCTAACTTATCTATCTTAGAGTAAGTAACTTAGAGCCTCATAAATTAACTTATTTAGTTAATTTATTAAAGGACTACTCCATCTAATTAAGGTGAATCAACTCTAACCACTTCGTCCAGTAATTAACTTATAACCCTGCGATTTAACGAATTAGACAAGTCTTTTCATAAGTGAACATATCTGTTAACAAACATAATGCACATAAATAAGCATACAACTCACAGATAGATGCATAATTCAGATTAATCATAAAATTAATGGCTATGTAAAAAGCGGGTGTTACACAGAACATCAAATGGGTCGGATCTAAACCAAAATTGGTATAATAATATTCTAAAAAAACTTCTTAATGCACTTTTCCCAAACGTAACACTCCAATCAATGTAACACACAAAAAACTCCTTAGTGTACTTTTTCCAAATGTAACAACATAACATTCCAAAAAAATTCCTTAATGTATTTTTTTCAAACATAACACTCCAATCAATATAACACCCAAAATCTCCTTAATGTTCTTTTTTCTAAACGTAACACTCTAATGTAACACCAGAAAATCGCACTAACGGAAATGTAGGTTTCTATGCTTAAAAAGAATCTTCCACAACCTCACCTTTCTATTCGCATCCCAAAAACAAATCAAAAAATTAAAAAAATGATCATAAACGGGCCATTCATTTAAACTCAAATGACTCCAAATCAAATAATTACAAATTTCTAAAACAAAAATGACTAAATTGTTTATAAAAAAAACTCATAGGACTAAATAGATCCATATTCCCTCATATGGGATATATGGATAAATTTTCCTTTAATTTAATAAAAATAGTGTAAATGAGAAAAATAAAAACAGAGAAATATATTTTAAGTATCATACAGATTAATTAAGTATTTTAGTACTCTCAAATAATTTCTCCATTCAAGTAAATGTTAATTTTAATTTTAAATGTAAGAAATGAGAAATTATTTAAATTGTTTATTATTCTCAAATAATTTCTTGATTTTTCATTCCCTATTAACTAATTTTAATTTATTGTCAAACGATTATATATATATATATATATTTTATATTTATTTTTATATATTTTTTAATCATGTAAGAATAATTTGCATTTTTTTAAAAATATGCATTGAGTAGAAATTTAATGACTCAAAAAAATAAAAATAAAAATTTGTTAATAATATCTTAACAATTTAGGGATAAATAATTTTCTTATATATGAATAAAAAAAATAGGACAAATTGTTGGGAAAAAAAATTAATCCATTTGTTTCAACATTAAAAAAAAAAATTTTAACAACAAATGCATTAATTAAAATTGACAAATTTTTTGTTGTTTATATAATGTGAAGAGTAATGTTAGAAACCTCAAAAATTTTATCAAACTTTTTACTAAATGTCTCACATAGAAAATTTAGTACAATTTTTGGGGTCCCTAACATTTTTCTAGTGTGAAATAAGTCTTATAAGTATTGTATTAATTATTAGGGTCTTATATTAAACTATTAGGGTGTTAAGTTCAAATATGCATGAATTTTTAATAATATATATGCAAAACCTCTCAGCGAAGGTAGGTGAGTGAAAATTTTCATTTAAATAGTTTATTGATTGATTTAGTATTTTTCATCTCTTCTTGCTCAATTCAAAAGGGCAATATTGTCATTTTGAATAGCCAAGTAACGGCGTTTGTGCTAAATTAATGGATTGAGAGCATCTTAATATTATTAGCAAAAGTATAGAAGGTTTATGTAATTATTAAAATTACAAGAAAAATCTCTATATTTGTCAAAAATCAGAGGGAATGTAAGTATAATTTATCCTTTTAGTTTCTTAAGACAACAATGTATATCATATAATATTTTTGATATAAAATATATGCATAATAAAATAAAAAATTCATAAATTTACTTTTGTTTGGGTATCCCGTTCAATTTCACCAAAATTACATTTTTGGGCCAATATTGTCTAATATTTACAGAATCGGCCAGCACTAACCAAGAAGTTGACCGAAATAATATTGGCCTATTTGTATTCCACCAAGAAGTTAACGGACACAATATTGGCCTATTTGGATTCCGTTTTCTCGCTGGTATCATACGTACCAGACAGTACGGTATGGGATTGACAACTATGCATTATATTAGACTGCCTATAAATCAGCTTCTAGGAAATTTAGGAACTTACCAGAATTTAGAGCACATATCTAAAATTCTTCAAAATATACTTAAAAAAAAAAAAGACTCAATCACTTCGTATTCATTGATGGTTACTACCAGGGTTCTCATTTTTTCTCCCAACTAATCTAATCATGCAGAGGTAGGCATCTCTCTTACTACCCATCTCATAAAAAATATAAGCTTGTTTGAATCATGTCATAACAAACTAAAAGTGGATATCAACAATTTAAAAGTAATATTTCCAATTACAACAATCAATGAACTGCCAAAACCTACTCTAGTTGATACATTCAATCAGAAGACTATCATGCTTTACTTACCCATAAAATTTGAATAAAAGAATATCAAACACATTACAATTGGACAGAAAATGAGGAGACCTAGTCATGATCAATGTTGATACATTTTTCAGATTTCCCTGCAGATCTTAGATGAGAGTTAAGATGTTCCAACTTAGCTGGAAAATTTTTACTGCGACATCAATGGTACGACTTCAGGTGAAAAATTTGGCACATTGGTTTGTATGACCCCTTCTCAGCAGCCTGTTCAAACTTCTTGATAAAAACTTCATTCTCTTCTAAGCTGGTCTGAACAAAAAATCGAATCCACCAAGACAAGCTCCTCATTTTTGCCTTCAAAAAATAAAAAATAAAAATCATTTTTAACATGAAGAAGCGCATTAATATAAGAGCGGAAAATAGACAGCCAGCAAATAAATGAAATAAAAGTTGATGGGGAGTAAAGGATTGTATAAATTAGAATTGTTTAATACAATAAGCTGACTGACATTACCTGCCCAGCAAATTTTTTCTTTTTAATATAAGGGTGACCATTGGTTCAATAATAAAACATTGGCCTAATCTATGTTACCAGAAAATGCTAATACCTTAGCGAATTACGTATTGGTACGTCCGTTTTGAAACATGGCACACTTTGGTTCCAAACAGTAAATTTAGTGATCCGAAGCAACCCCCAAATTTTTTTCTAATATATTTCCTTCAATGTTACCTTAGGAGGAAAAATATCAAATATAATGAATTAAAATCTAAACTTGACTTAAGTTTTGACAAGACATAAACTTTAAAATGAAAAATATATACGTATATTATTGGATGCCCAATAGTTAAAAGAAAATTACTCTAGAAATACCTTAAATTCTTAAGTGTAATATATAAGTCTACCCCTATCGTACCACATTTTAAAGCATGTGGCGTATCACGTTCACGTTCACATTCACGTTCCCGCTCCCGTTCCCGTTCCCGTTCCCGTTCCCGTTCCCCGTACCGAAACAATCCACGTTCCAGGTAACATAGGGCCTAATAACCTTGAGATTATGGGTTCAAATATCGGGATAATCACTTTGTGTACTATGCCAAAGGTTAGGTGTACACCCAATCTTTTCCCTCCCAAACACATATTAATGTGCACTATTTAGGCGTTGTTTTTAATATATAAGTATGTCTCAATCATAAATTTCAATTTGAAGAAATTTGATTATGGCAGTTTAACTCAACTAGGTATTTCTAGGGCTACTTTCCACTTACAAGACAACTCACTGTTTCATCAGATTTTGCAATGAAATCCACCAAACTTACGAAAAATAACATAAGCAAATTTAAAACAAGGTCTTCAGAATAGGCTTGGAGCAATTCAGCTTCTAGCATTACCATCATCAATATAAAAAAATACAATTCATAGGCTGTTGAATTGCAATTAAATTGATCAATGCCAATGAGAGGGTATTAGAACCTAGTTCTTAACATCGGTGTTAAATGGACTTCTTCTACTTCTTCCAATGCACCTGTGTCCACCGAATATGACAATGGTAAGGACGTGGGCTATATGTCTGACACATGTACCCAATTTAGACACTTGAACCCTCTAACTTTATATGATGTTTGAAGAAGAAGATGCTCCACTTACTAGTAAAGAAACATTTCTACCTTCTCACACGAATGAAAGATATATATTCATATTTTCCCCAACTTTCATTTAATTATACAATTCTAAATAATTTACATATTATCTAAGAACATTATGCAATATATGTGTTTAAAACGTGTCCCGATACTTATATCCAACTTTTGGATGCATATTCCCAATATCCTAAGATTAAAGTTTAGGGAGATTTGACAGTTGGACACACACCGATATTCGTACGCAAGTCCATGTAACATAGCTTAACACTATTAGTATGCCGAACGAACAAAGATATGGAGGGCATACGCTTAAATTTGCATTGCAATTGATTGATGGTCGTCTTTAACATCTAAAATCAAAATTAAATAAGTAAACTAACCCAAGAAAAACCAGAGTAATGACAATATCCTACAAGAAACAGCTACTTACCGGCCGACCAAATTTGGATTTGTCTGCAACTTTAGCTCTCTGCTGACCTGGGTAGCCTAAAATTATGAAACAAAGCAGTAAGCGTCATTAAAATCAACAAAGTAAGTTTAATAATAAAATGCCTAAGCATCTGAAAATAGAAGTTTGCATCCCTGATAAAGAGTATTGACTAAAATCTTGTCAAAATATAATGACAAATCACAGGATCTATATGAACTTATTTTATGCCACATTAACAGACATCAAAATAATGCATATATATATAACTATGAAAAACCTTGTGCCATATTGTGAAAAGCAGGATAGGGAAACAAAAATTTAAAAACAGAAGTTATATGTGTTAGGAAATCGATATCCCATAGCAAACAAGAGATAACAAGAGTTGCAGTTGATCTCATGAAAAAGTCCACAGATAACAAGAGTTCTACAGAGTAGCAAAAGTGCAAACATATGAAAAGGAAAAGTGGGCACAACTCAGGCCTCGTTTGGCAAGAGGCTATTTTAGCCAATTAGTCAAAAAGTTACTAAATTAGCCAAAAAGCCAACAACTCATACCAAAAAGTCAAAGATTCTCTTTTCAAAAATTTAAAAACAGAAGTTATATGTGTTAGGAAATCGATATCCCATAGCAAACAAGAGATAACAAGAGTTGCATTTGATCTCACGAAAAAGTCCACAGATAACAAGAGTTCTACAAAGTAGCAAAAGTGCAAGCATATGAAAAGGAAAAGTGGGCACAACTCAATAAACAAAAGGTTGTGTAAAATGGAACCAAAATGCATACTTGCACAACTTTTTAGCCCAAGATATAGCTTAATAATTTTACCTGTAAAAATAACAATACCATCAGCTGATACCCTTGCCAACTCAGGAAGGGTCTTGTTGAGATATTTTGGAGACACGTAATCCAAAGCATCTGAAATTATCACAAGAGAAAATGATTTTGCCCTGTATGGAAGAGAAAACTTGATGTCAGCCACACGAACAATGCCCTTGCGCACAAGACTCTTGCAGTTAGCATCAGCATCCTCGATATCATAGGGTTCCACTCCCCAGGCCTCAGTGTCCTCCTCTTTCAACAGCATAGAAACCACTGAACAAGTTTCGGGGCCAATATGCAAAACCTTATGCATGTTGTCGCCATATGCTTTCTTCAAAATTGGAATTGCCCGCTGAACCTCTGTTGTGCATGAAAAGTCACCTAAATATGAAAAGAAAGATAAGACCTTAAAATATGGTAAACTGCTCCACAATGGCATATTCATCAACCAATTTATCTGACAAGATACATCAGAGTAACTTATAATATATATATATATTTTTTAAAAAAACAAACAACAACAAAAGAGCAAAAAATATTTAGCTACTAAGATGTATTAGTTTTAGATCAGAACCCAACATTTAGCCTTGCTATAAAAGAAATAATGACGACTTACATTTAGATGGTAAGCTAAAGACAACACCATATAATAACTTAGGTAATTTAGAGTATTAAATATAAACAAGTTTGAAAGGATGATAGTAAGTAGACTGGTTGTGGACCCGTCTGGGAAGTTACTGAGATGGCAAAAGACTATTGAAGGTGGAAGGGGTGAGAGAGAGAGAGAGTGGCAGTGAAGAACTAGAGCCTCTAGAATTTCCAGAGGAGACAAGCCAGTGTGCATGCATGCATGCATGGAGTTGGTGACCTATTCATTGGAGGGTCGATCCTTGGAGGCCAGCTCACCCTAGTGCACAATGTCACATGCTAGAGAGAAAATAATGGGACAGGAAGGGGGATGCCCCAGTAAAGATTGTATGTTTCTGTTTTGGGCAATGAAATTAACTTACCAAAAAAAGAATGATTGGTTCATATGTCACTTTACAAGGCTAACACGTAGGTTTTAAGTTCATGGAAGCCTAAACGTCATGTGTTCGTTTACAACAAAAGATTAGCAGAACATGCCACGCCCTAATGTTGATCCCCAATAGTCAAAGGATGCTGGGAGGGATCAATTGCATAACTTTCGGCATAATATGAACTAAGTGGCTGCTTTCAAAGTCGATGTCACATCCTGAAGCTCAGTAGGCGGAGCATTTTACCATAACACCAAGCAATGGCCCCTGACTGATAGAATGTGCGGTTAAGAATATATAAACAAAACCATTTTTAATAAGAAATAATTTACTAAAGAGCGAAAAAGAGGAGGCAAATAAAGTTATCAAAAAACAACAATCTGTAGACCCTTTTATTTATTTATTTATTTTGATAGATCTTAGCCTTAATTTCTTAATTGGTCGTAGAATCAGAAAGCGAACATTCGAAAAAATGGCAAGAAATCAAGCACAACTTACCTTCAACCCTGCTAACCACAGCTTTACTACTGCCAAATCCACCTATCATAACCCCCCCAAAAAAAAATTCATTGGTCAGTCCATGGAACAAGTATCAAGTCTGTCGAGAAGAACAAACATCTAACAATAACTGATATCATGCATCAATATGTATGACATAAAATAGCCTGTGTAAGATCTGGCTTCTATGTGTGTCGTGGCATAATGACAGAGTTGTTGGAAACCAGCGAGTATCATAAGAAAATGTTAGTTATTAACTATTATATAGAATATAGATAAAAATCCAAAAATATGGACATAGAATATAGGATTTATCCCTTTGAGTCCTATTCATATTCTGCCCTTGTTTGCTTTCTTTCCATATCAAGATTCAGAAATTTGAACAAGGCTACTACAACTCATGCTATCTTTTATGCTTTACTTGTTTTTGTTCACATAATGATGCACCAACACAATGCCATCTATGTAGAAAATTAAGATTTATTGCCAAGTAACTCCAAGATCAAGATTCTCATCAACCATAAGGAAAATTAAAAAGAAAAAAAAAATCAGAACAATAATATATAACAATTAAATTCTTGATTTCAATGGATAGCTTGCCAATAATACTCCCTTTCAAAGGCTTTGGCTGAATTAATATCACTATATCTTCATTATTTTATTTTTTTGTTCTCCATTACCATTTTTTGTCTAGGCCATCCTTTGTTTGCTTCCAACACAATTTTTTTTTTTGTCTTAATGAGATTTTCCAAAGACCAAATTCAATGGTGGTAATTAATTGACTTCAATAGGTTATTGCCATAATAAGAGGTGCTCAATGGTTGAAATAATAAAAAACTAAGTTCTTCTTCCAATGAATTTGATCTGTCACCTCTTGTACAAAAAAACAAAACAAAACACAAAAAACAAAAAACAAAACACAAAAAACAAAAAACAAAAACAAAGGTTGCGTTTGGTAGAGTTTTGTAATTATGATTTGAGAATATGAGTTGTATTTTGAGTTTGTGGGGTTTGGAATTATGATTTGACTGTAAAAAATTTGTTTGGTAAAGAGTTTTGAAATAGTTTTGAAAAGAGTTTTGATTTGAGTTGAGAATTGTTGATGTGACATTTGATATTTGATACAAAAATTTACAATTCATAACTAAACATACCACTCAAAATTATTTTAAAGCACATAAAAAATTTTAAAAATTTCAGAAAATATTTTTTTCGATTATATAAAAATTAACATATAAATTGCAAACAAAAAAAAAATTTACTATTCCGGTCAACCGGCCGGAAGATTGGTCAGGCAAAATTTTTTTAAAAAAAAATTTGAAAAACGCGGCTGAGACAGAGCTCTCTGCAACGTGATTCCAAAACTCCTACCAAACACCATACTTGAATCAAGGTGCAGAATCATGATTTGAGAACACAACCAAACACAGCCAAAAACTGGCCAATTATCTCATCAATTTTCACTAATCAGTTAAAAACGGCCACCCAGAAGTAAAAGTCATGTTGAAACTAAAACATTCACTTAAAGGTGATTTCATAGTTGAGAAATAGAGTAATAACTTAACCACTAAAAATTGTATATTGCAATATCTAAACCAATATGTAAGTTGTTAAAGTAAATACAAACCTGAGCCACTGTTTACATAGCATATAATAAGCAGTGCTCCCTGAAAAGATCCCCCTCAAGGGAGGGTAAAAAAAACAAAATTAAAAAAAGAGTAATTAGAATTTGACAGGTCAAGCATGAGCAACATGAACTAATTCTTTTTGGGTGCAAGGATTCCTAATAAATGTAAACAGTAGAAATAATGTAAGATTCAACCAAATTTATTGAAAAACTCATGAAAAAGGGAATTATTATTGTTCATCAAAAGGAAATAACAGAAAAATAATGACAAAGGTAGGGACATTCTGACAATAATTTCCATAATGCTAACCTATTTAAAAAAAAAATAAAAGAAAAAAGAAAAGGAAAGAAAAGAAAAGAGTACCGTGATTATAAGTGCTATTGATAAAACAGGTGATGACCGTGATTTTGATTGCAATGCAGTTGCAAATGGAACAGCGCCACCGTCCCCAATGTGTCGAGATGGGTTAAGTTGCCTCCTTGACATGGCTTCAGATTTGATTGCAGAGTTTTGGAAACGTGATTCCAAAACTCCTACCAAACACCATACTTGAATCAAGGTGCAAAATCATGATTTGAGAACACAACTAAACACAGCCCAAAAGCTGGCCAATTATCTCATCAATTTTCACTAATCAGTTAAAAACAGCCACCCAGAAGTAAAAATCATGTTGAAACTAAAACATTCACTTAAATGTGATTTCATAGTTGAGAAATAGAGTAATAACTTAACCACTAAAAATTGTATATTGCAATATCTAAACCAATATGTAAGTTGTTAAAGTAAATACAAACCTGAGCCACTGTTTACATAGCATATAATAAGCAGTGCTCCCTGAAAAGATCCCCCTCAAGGGAGGGTAAAAAAAACAAAATTAAAAAAAGAGTAATTAGAATTTGACAGGTCAAGCATGAGCAACATGAACTAATTCTTTTTGGGTGCAAGGATTCCTAATAAATGTAAACAGTAGAAATAATGTAAGATTCAACCAAATTTATTGAAAAACTCATGAAAAAGGGAATTATTATTGTTCATCAAAAGGAAATAACAGAAAAATAATGACAAAGGTAGGGACATTCTGACAATAATTTCCATAATGCTAACCTATTTAAAAAAAAAATAAAAGAAAAAAGAAAAGGAAAGAAAAGAAAAGAGTACCGTGATTATAAGTGCTATTGATAAAACAGGTGATGACCGTGATTTTGATTGCAATGCAGTTGCAAATGGAACAGCGCCACCGTCCCCAATGTGTCGAGATGGGTTAAGTTGCCTCCTTGACATGGCTTCAGATTTGATTGATGATAAGGCTTCAAGTTACTATACTGATCAAAGTAAACATAAGGTATCATAGCGCACAAAGAACAAATCACCATTAGATAACATATCACAGTGCACAAAGAATAAATCAACATAAAAGGCAGCACATTTTTCCAAATTAATGGAGGGAAAAAAAAGAAAAAAGGACAAAGAAGCGATATTTAAATTTTCTTTGTTCTTTATATATATATAATATGAAAGAAACATCATTATGCGATCAATGGATAGTAACACAATTGAAGGGGGGGGGAGGAGGAAATAACTTTTGCTACCAAAGAGAGTACAACAATGTGAACTAAGCTCTCAACATTTGTGATATTCTTGTATTAATCAAAAACTAACTACTAAGCACAGATACTTCTAAAAGGAAATCGTATCTGTATCAAATACTCACACTCATTGTATCTACGATCCAAGTCTTCCTAAACTCATTCATAATTTGAAATTAATTTTATTTAATTTTGAGAATATTGAATACTCTAGGTCAAGTAACTGAACTACGTATAATTAACTGTAATAATTGTTTTTTAAGATAATTCTTGCATTTTTAGGATAAATACAATAAATATTTTTCAATAATCTTAAGAAAGAAGAAAATTAGTGAGATTAAAGTAGTAGTGATGTGTCCTTACATGTTATGTATCCATATCCACATCAATACTAAATAGAAAGAAAGGGTAGGTAAAAAAAAAAAAAAAAAAACAACTATTAATCTATTTAAAAAAAAAAAATCAACTATTAAACAAGTAAAATTGCATAAAACTAGCTATGATTTCAATAAGCTGCATAAAATTAGCATAATTGCAGAGCTTCTTCACTCAGATCCGTAGATCTTAAATTTTTTTGGGAGTTGAATCGATTATTGTTCTTGAGATTTATCGAGAACTGTTCTGAAGTAAAAAAGAGATGAGTTCTTGAGAATTACTTGAAACCTGGAATTTGAGGCCGAATCTATAGATCCGTATCTTGAAACTGATCGATGATCGGCAAACTATAGATTACAAAGATACAGCATAAATATATGTACAAACATTGTTGAATCTGAGTGTTGGATTTGGAACGAAAGAGTAGGGATTGGGTTGGGTAAACGACGCAGGTTTTTGGAGCTTCGAGCGCACTCGACTCGACTACTTTAACTGGCGCCTCGAGTCGGCCGCGATCCAACGGTTTTAATCCCACTGTCGCTGATCCCTTAAGGTGGTTTTTTTTTTATTACTATTTTGTAGGTTTTTTTTTATATAAATTATTATTATTTAGGAATACTTTGGAGATGGTCAAAATAAATACATTTATTTAAGGTATATCATTTTTTTATTTTTTTTATATGTTTTTGTAAAAATTTAAACAAAAATTGTATTTTTTTTATAAGGTAAATATAACAATTTTTTTTTATAAGGTAAATATAACAAAATTATATGATTATAATTACCAAATTAATTTATTTTTTCAAAAGTAAAAAATGTTTTGAGTATCAACTTTTATCAATCAATCTATACTCCACCCATATTAACACCGCCACCGGTGTCACTAATTAGTACATTAATTTTAAAAGGCAAATTGTTATAAATCTCAAATTTTTTATTAAATATATTAAGTAAAAGAGGGTTTTTAACCTCAAGTCTTATGGGAGCTCCAATCTCCCAATCTAAATTTCTTGATTTTTTGATTTAAAAAATAAATAAATCTTAGCGTTTATTAACTTCTCCCAACTTCCAAGTCTTACCATCATAATAACACTTTAATGCATTAAGAACAAGCATAAAAAAAATTCTTTGAAATCCAACACATATGAATTGCTTGAAAGGTCCCAACACATATGATTATTATCCCTCATAATAATACTTTAATGCATTAAGAACAAGTATAAAAAAAATTTCTTGAAAAATCCAACACATATAATTATTATCAAAATATTAAACTTTAATATAATACAATAAAAAAAACATTTAATTCCTTAAAGAGTCCAACACATATGATTATTATCAAAATATTAAATTTTAATATAATACAAAAAAGAAAAAAAAAAGACATTTAAAAAGGGGATTTTTAACCCCCAAGGCTTGTGGGAACTTCAATATCCCAATCTGAATTTTTTAAATTTTTTATTTAAAAAAAAATCAGCAGTTATTGATTTGGTCAAAATTTCCTGATCAGCATTTATTAACTTTTTTCAATCCACATGCATGCATTTATTGATTTAGTCAAAATTTCCTGATCAGCATTTAAAATCTCCTCAAACAAATAATTATGGATACAATCCGTATATAATTACTGCAGTACCCTTTTCAACTTCTCTTATACATTATGATTAGTGATAAGATTTTAAATTATTTTTATAAAAAATTTTAAAAAACATAATTTATATATTAAAACAAATATAACTATCAATAATTATCTCGTGCATAGCACGGGTGATAGGCTAGTTTTTTATTAAACAAATGATCAAATGTCTCACATGATGTGGAATCCATAAAATTGCAGGCTCCACACCCATGTAAGACATTTAGTCATTTATTTGGTACAAAATTTGATATCCCTAACATTACCTATTAAAAATATAATATAATACATACAACTTATAACATTTTGTCAATTTATATCACTTTGTATCATGATAAAAAGAATAACCAAAAAAAAAAGGAATTAATCCAAAACCAAAATAACAAACACTACTTATAATGTCATAATCTAGTTATAACACCATCAATAGACCACACCCAAACACCACAAAAGATGATAAAAAAAAGGAAAAACAATGAAAACAAAAAAAAAAACAACATTCAGAAAATATAATAATAGTAATAACAAAGAAAAAAAGAAAAGAAAAAAAAAATAAGGCAAACAATTCAGCATTGTTAAAAACAGTTAGAACAAGCAAATATGAGATCACAAGTTTTTGCTTACCCACTATCATCATCACCTCCATTACTGCTAAGTGCCTCCTTAGCCCCAGAGGTATTCATCACCTCATAATTATTTCCATTGTGGACACCAAGGAAGCTATCCCCCCAATGAATAATTTTTTTATATACAAAAATCAAAAAAAAAAATATTCTTTCTTTAATGCATCTATGACGGTTTATTTTTTATTTTTCACTAAATTTGAGTAAAAACTTAATTTAATATCAAGTGCTCTAAGGGATCATTTTGAGCTTGCATCAAAATACCGGTCGATTAGGCGAAGGACTGGACAGGTCAGTATATTTTTTTCACAAATTTTTTAAAAAAAGGTGGTCATCCGGTAATAAAAATCTAACGTCTATAAACAGTGATTTGATAAAAAATTTCAAACGTCCTTGATTTTATGAAAGATTTTTAATATTCTTAGTTTGATACTTATTTAATAAAATTATTAGATTAAAAAAATTATTATTTTATTAAATTTAAGTTTAATAAAAAAAATTAATGAAGCATTAGAAATGGTCGTAGACAAACCTCTCATTAATTAGACCGTCTCACGGGTCCGAATTTAGGCACACACGTGACGGCAACTGCGGCAACTACCATACCATTCCCCGGTTCGCTCTTCTGCAGATCATCAAATCTATAGCAATTAACCCATTCAATCCTTAATCCACATACGTAAAGATACTACTAAAAGAATTCAAAGCGGAGAGAGAGAGAGAGAGTTTTATTCAAGTTGGTTCATAAGAAGTCAAAATCCCGAGAAAATTCAGACACAAATCAGAAAGAAAGCATGAACCTAGGGTTTACAATTCAATTCTCATTAGCAAAACCAACTCCATGAATTCCAATTCACAAGATAAGAATATGAAAAACGATGATGACGACGACTCTGATAAACGGAGTCGAGACAACCCGTACAGACCTCGTCAAGATAAAGCGGAAGACATGAGGCTGTGGGGAATTCTCATCTTTGGTTTGATTGGAGCTACTGCCACCACCTTCGCCGTAAGTTCTCCTCAATTCTTCACATTACAAAAAACCAATTCATTTTTTTTTTTTTTAACTTTTTCATGAATTTCGATTCTTTCAATTTCGTCGTGTTTGTGTCCCTTTTGGTATGTGATGATGGGCATGATTAGTTTGATTGAGTTACGTATTTAAAGACATCAAAATGTGACTGATTATTGACATTACAAAAATAGTGAATAAAGATTAGTGATGATTGGTACTAAAATGTTAAAAACGAACACGTTCAAAACTTGCTTCTAGATCAACCCAAGAGCCTTGTAGACTTCAAAAATGGTTAAAAAGATAACATGTAAGCTTATTTGGAGCTAATGGTTATACTTTCTATGGTTTTTATCCGGAAAGATGGTGTTTTGTTATCAATTAAGTATTTTGGTTCGAAGCACCCATTCATTAAAGGCATTTACCATTTACTTTTGAAAAGGGACTAAAGTGATAACACCTGTTTATGGAGGTGGCTTCCTTGTCATTGCTGTTTCCACTGCTTTATTTACTTGGTAAAGCCCTTGCTTTTCTTAAGCATAAACTTGTTGGGTTTAAAGTTTACAATTTTTGTTGCAGTTTCTTCATGGGAAAGGGAGAGGACTGTGCAGGACTCGATAGGCAGTTACACAACTTACATAATTTCGTAGTACCTAATCCAAGTTGCTATCCCCATGCTTAGCTAGAAAATATGTCTATATATATTGAATTGGTACGTGTGACCTTTCAACCCAAAAGAGGATCTGATGAAGAGAACCATAGGTAGGTGGACAGGGGTCGGACCAAGGTTCCTCTGTAGAAGTGTGGATGACCATCTCATCATTCCTTGATAATGTTCAACTTGGATATTACACCAATCCCCAAAAGATATGCAATTTTAGCTCACTCATACCAAAGAAACTGAAATTAAAATTAGGAATAGAATGAATCTTTTATTAGCTTAGAAAGCATGCTTGCAAGGTTCTAGAATTTGTTAAATTGTAGTTTTACTGTTTTTGCAATAGCTATTGATGGCACTACTTCTAGTAAATACTTTATTTGACGGTTGGACCAATCTGGCAGGTTGGACAATTGCGGAGGACAGTTGATTGGTTCTATACTCAGGTAGTGATTTGCATTTCATTGTCTTTACCTTTTATAGAAGTTTGATGTAGTTTTGCTGAGGTTTAGGTCCATGTATTTATGTTTTGAAACTGCTAATTCGTGTCCTGTATGCCAAAATGTTATGAAGTTTTCTTTTAGGTTGATAATACTCTTCAAGCTCTTGGAATCAGTGATTTTGATACCTCTTCATATTCAGATGATCTTACAACTTGGCCTCCATGTGAGGAAGCCTGGTTTGTTTTTAGAAATTCAGAACTTTTTTTTCTCCTTCAGGAGATTATGTTATTATTTTCTCTACGCTTATAAATTATTTATATTGTGCTTATTTGAGCTTGTTTCTGGTTCATTTTTGTGTACATTTTAATTTGCATATCTACAAATGAAGGAATTTTTCATCTTTTGTATGGTAAAATATAGATAGATATAAGCTTTAATTTCTGCATTAGAATCTATATAGTAGGAAACCTCTATTCAGAGTAAGATGACTGAATGCAATCTATTGGGTTGTTGATTTATGTTAAAAAAAGATATAGTCCTATGAATTTATTTCTTACTGGAAATAAGAACTTCTTTTTGGGGGTCTGCAAATAGGAATTGGGGCTTAAGTCAATGCCTTTTGAAATAAATGTAGAGATCATGGTTGGAAATAGTTAAAATTAGGTCTCTCTCTCTCTCTCTGTTGGAGGAGGTGCACTTGTTCTGATTGTGCATGTTGGTGCTCCACAATAGTTGACCAGGTCACAGTCATCATGGAAAGGTTCAACTGGTGGTTCTTTCCGGTCAAGTTTTCAGGAGGAAGCATGGAAAAGATACAACCGTCGAATGCAAGAGGAGTATGAAGAGGAAATGGAAAGAGGGGTGAGTTTTGCCTCTTAAGATAATTTTATGTATTATAACTCTCTCTCTCTCTCTCTGTCTCTCTCTCTCTCGCTAAATGGAATGGCAAAACTTTGTCAAATATGACGACATATTATTATTTTCCTTAGTATCAAATACATTATCATTTTAAAAGACCTTTGTTACTTCTGGAACTGACTTTATCCATAGAATTTGTTGCTCATACAGTATCAAATACATTATCATTTTAAAAGACCTTTGTTACTTCTGGAACTGACTTTATCCATAGAATTTGTTGCTCATACTGTATTATGCATTGTTCACATGATATGCATGATTGTGCGATATTTGTAATATGTACAAGGATTCGTGGTTATAACTTGTTACTCGTGTAGGATGCATGAAATCATCCTATGTTTTACTTTCCTAGAAAAATTAGTCAGTTTTCTTATAGCAAAATTGATGAGGGTCCGACAAACTTTTGGTGAATTATATCAGAATCATACAGCAATTTTAAGAGGAGTACTCAGTTTTCTTATAGCAAAATTGATGAGGGTCTGACAAACTTTTGGTGAATTATATCAGAATTATACAACAATTTTAAGAGGAGTACTAGTTAAAAATAAAAACAAGACTTGAGATTACAATCTAACTAAAGTAGCTTTAAAAATATGTTTATACCCTTTTGAAGAAAATCTATCAGAATATAAGGTGTATTACATTTTAGAAAATGCTATTAAATGAAGCATGACACTCGGAAAGACTGAAACCACACAATGATTTTGAATATATTTGCATTTTGGATAGGTTTTTGATGATATGAAATGTAATGATGAAGTCAAACGAAATTGATAAGTGGACATTTTCTTACAAGTTAGAGAAATCACAAGTACCTAGATAGAGAAACTAGAAAGTGAACTCGTGGTGGATGTAACGTGTTCGCCACAAAATGTTCACGGCAATAGATGCATCTGTGCATTTTCATTGAATAAAAGGGCGTATGGTATGTGAGCCTGAATTGCATATGGGGAATGCTGCATATATATTGTTACATCAGTAACTTAGTTGTACAACTGTATTATTCTCTCTTTTTTCACATCTTTATATCCCCTTTATGGCTTATCATGTAATATGTAGTTCATGAATATGTTTAGCTGCATAAAATTATGTTTAAAATTATGAGATATATTTTATGCCCTACTTCATAGTCTTCAGTCATGTTTGTTTGGCGGTTTGGAGGGTGCAATTGGACTAAGATGCCTCCTGGGTCCATGAAGCCGTGTTTGGTTCGCTCTTTTAAGTCCTGGAGTGTTAGTCCACTGGTATTAATAATCTCCCTCAGTGACTGGATTAGTTTTGCTGGGGAGAAGGTGGGATTGAAAAAATAGTTAGGGGATTAAGTGTATCTGGTCATCCATCCGGACGTCTGGCCGGTCGACCGGAAAGTACAATTTTTTTTTTCATTTTTTATTTTTTGTACCCAAGTGCAGCTTGTTATTTTTAATGTTTTTTATATTTGTTTTAGAATTTTTTTTTTAATATAGAAATATATATTTTTATTTTATATAAAAATAATTTAACAATCCCTTCACTAACCATCTCTCCCACTATCATCAAAACAAACACACTTTTATTTAATTCCCTCACTAATAATCTCCACATTAACAATCTCTTCACTAACTATTCCCTCACTAACAATCTCATCTAACCTAATCCACCGAACAAACGTGGCCTTCACACTATACTTTTATAATGCCGTGCAAGATGTCATTCTGGTGGAAATGCTTAAATTTTATCCGGCAAACAAACGTGGCCCTCACTTTTACTTTTATCCGCCAAACAAACGTGGCCTTCTATAATGCCGTGCAAGATGTCATTCTGGTGGAAATGCTTAAATTTTATGCTTTGGTTTGTACTTTCTGTTATTTTGGGTCTAGTCTTGATTGTATCAGCAATGACTTGATTCTTTTTCTCTTCCTAGGAGCGTATAAGGCGCATGCAAAGTGTGTTTAACAGAGAAAGAAATAAATACAAAAGGAGCTATGAGAGCTGGGGGGGAAATGCTCAAGGTGAATATCATCAACATTTCCAGCGGGAAGATTGGTATTGGAAGACTGATGCATCTTACAGAGATAGCAGGACTAATTTCAGGGAAACTCCTCAAGGCACTGCTCATAATCCATTATCTCATCACTACTCAGTTTTGGGTCTGGATAGGTAATAGTCACTATTATAGAAATTAGATGCGTATTTTTGAATGGTTCCTAGAATGAGATATGACTGGGAGAGGTGAAATCTATAATTAAATATTTTATATGAAAGTCAAATTAGAGGTTTGCATCCAATGCTGCAAATTTCAGGTTGCATTCCCTTTGAGGGGCATTTTTTATATTAATGAAATTTACTTCAAAAAGAGTCTTGTCAACAATTTATCTAGTGATGGATCTTATGATGCAACTGATCCAAGGTTGTTAAAATAGAGATCCTACGTGAGATCGTTGGAAGTGACTCGTGGATCGGATCGTAAAATTGAATCGAGGATCGTAGGATTCTACTTTTAATGTAAAATAAAATGAAAAATTATCGATAATGATAATATATGTTACTTAATTTTAAAAATATTAAAGAAAAATGATAAATTTGATATAATGCATCTTTTATGTTAATATCAATTAGAAGAGACATTTGAAAAGTGTTTATAGTCAAATCTTTTATATAGATATACACATATACATACATATATATAAGAAATAAATAACAAAAAAAAAAATTGTTAGAATCGAGATCGTAGTAGAATCAGGATCGTATGCGATTCTGCACGATTTTATGAATAGGATCGTAGTAACTTTAAGATCCTACTAAATTTAAGATCCTAGTGTGATTCGGATCGTTTGGCATAACTGAAATCGTTTAATCGTAAGATCCTATGATCCAGATCGAGATTCTGATAACTATGATCTGATCTCATCCCTATCAATGGCTTTGGGATTTTAAAATGTCCTGGTTTGCAGTTGATTGATTTTTCTAGCCATATCATTTAAAGGGATCAACGGGAAACATTTTCCTTTGTGTTTTAACTAATTTTTATTGTGATTGAGAATTAATGGGGAAACTAATGCAAACTTTAAATTAACAGGGATTGAAAAAAATATATTGAAATAGTCTATAGGTGATTCAATTCAATTCTACCATTTTTTATTTTATGATCATCATTTACATAATATTTATGTTTATTGTCGAATTTTGAAATAAAATCTGAAGCTATATTGAAATCCTAAAACCATCTGATATTGTCTGATCAAATAAAATCTGAAGCATGTCCCCAGACAGACATGGCACCCATTTTGAAGTGTCGGTGCTTCATAGGGTGAAGGCATGTGCTTCTGACACCAAGTAACTTGACTTCTTACAAGTAGATATAAGGCAGGAAGCACGGATACAGATACGGGATACGGATACGATACGATACGGATACGGCGATACGACAAAATTTGAAAAACTAGGATACGGATACGGCGAGGATACGTTCGTAAAAAATATTATTTTAACAATTTTTAGTAATGCAGTATGCATAAAAATAAAACTTAAAGCAAAAGACAACTTGATAAAGAAGAAAGATTCTTATAAAACTAAGAGTCTTCAAGGTCAATAGCTTCAACTTGTTCCCCTTCATCATTGAATATCACAAGACCTTAGCTAAAGCCAAAAAACCATTCTTAAATAAAAATTTCAGCAAACATACTTTTTTAAGTCATCAATGATAGCTTAGGAAGCACGGATACGGATATGATGATATGGGAATGTGGATATGGCGATATGTCAAAACTTGAAAAAGTATGATACGGGTACAGCGGGGATACATTCGTAAAAAAAAAAAATTTATAATTTTAATAATGTAATATGCATGAAAATAAAACTTAAGTAAATTAATAAATAAAGAGAGATTCCTATTAACATAAAAGTGCTCAAACATTCATAAAACATCAAGCTATATTGAAATCCTAAAACCATCTGATATTGTCTGATCAAATAAAATCTGAAGCATGTCCCCAGACAGACATGGCACCCATTTTGAAGTGTCGGTGCTTCATAGGGTGAAGGCATGTGCTTCTGACACCAAGTAACTTGACTTCTTACAAGTAGATATAAGGCCATGCTCTCTCAGTTGTATCTCATACATAGTATTGCAGCCATAGTGCACAGGGAGAGGCAAGGTTCCATTTTCTCTCTTTTTCTTTCCTTTCTTAATTTCATAATCAGGGTGTGTGTACTTCTATACCAGAATAAAGTGCAAACAAACATGGCGCACCTGATGACCCTTTTTTTTGGGGGTGTGTGTGCCTTTTTTTCCCATATGATGCTTTCAAGGGGAATTATTGAATATTTTTCTGTTGATATTGTCGTAGCAGTACCAGTATGTTGATCTTGATATTTTGTAATTCTCTCTTTTTGCAACAGGTTGAGAACAAAACCATACACCGATGTTGAGATAAAGGTATTTGCCACATTTTGTGTGAAGTACTCCTTCATCCCTGTTAGATCTGTCAACAGTTATTGTTGTTATCTCTATCTTCCTAAGAAGCTGGAACTTCTCTCATTTCATTATTATAAGTCTTCGTAAAATTTTGAAATTGAGTGCCTTGTTTTGTGTGATCCCCTAAATATTTTCACCAAGATATTTTGACTGCTTTTCATACTCATCAGCGTAGGTAGAGAGAGAAAGAAAAAAAAAAAAATCACCCCAGTGCTTGTCTCATGATCTCATCCTGTATATTGTCGAGGGATAATGACCATCAACTCTCAATAAAGTTTACATGCTCCCTGTCTAATTTATTTGATTATGTTAGTATGTGTTGCATCAGGCCTTTTACATGTGACATGTTGCTTGCCACATGCAATGCATCTGTAAATAAGTCGAAATAAATTAATTTGAATGTTTGCATGAGTCAATGACTAGTGAAGAAAGATGTAAAATCGTGACAATCTAGGAGAGAAAAACTCAATGAAAAATTATTATTATTTTTAAAATGAAGTACCAAAATCGTAGTGCTTTATTTCAATATTTGAAAGCAACCCTATAGGACAGTATGATGACAATGTGTTTTGTGTTTAGTATGTCTTAAAGATGGATCACATTGTTAAAAACCGATCTACTTCTGGGGTAGATGTGCAAAATTCTTATTAGTTGTCTTGATTTGTAGTTGTGTGGCATCTGTGTTGCATGCGTTGTTCAAGTTATTGACCCTGAAGTGAGAAGTCATTGTTCCTTTATTCCTGAGCTTCTTTGACCTTCACTGTGTTTATGGGGAGTTGTAGATCTAAAACATGGAACATATGCAAGTGAAGCTTGAAGAACTTCAGTGTGTTTATTGGGAGTTGTAGATCTAAAAAATGGAACCTATGCAAGTGTAGCTTGCAGGATATATTGTTCCATTCTAAGAATGATTAGATTAAGAGCATGGAATGTTAAAGGTACCTCAAGGATGTGAGGAGGACCAAGAAGAACATAAGTTGAAGATGTGAGTGAAGACACAATGATTAATAGAAGCTATGGCCTATATAGAACCAAATGGTGAAAACATTCATGCAGTCTTCGATGAGTTCAGTCAAATCTGTAAACATCAAAGGTGCTGTTGAATATTGATTATTTGATTTAGGATTTAGTCACTTGTCACTTCTATGTATATCATTGTACAGAAAAAACATTTTCACCCCCACCCAAAGAAAAAGAAACATTTCTTTTGTTTTCCATGCAGACAGCTTTCAGGACAAAGGCAAAGGAGTTCCACCCAGATCAAAATCAGGATAACAAAGGTGAGCATCTCTTGACCATCGTTAAGTAAAATCTTAAGATTATGTTACAGATACTGTAACATCATTCTGATGTCATTTTTGCATTGCTTTACAATATTTGATTGTTGTGTTTTCGTGCAGAGCTAGCTGAAGCGAAGTTCAAAGAGGTCATGTCATCTTATGAAGCTATTAAGATGGAAAGGAAAAACAAATAAGTTGTGAACTCAAAACTTGCTGTGTTCAGAAAATATCGACAATACGGTGAGTACACTGTAAAATCTTTTGTTCCATTTGACCATTTGGATTTCATGTTGTACTTGTAGGCATTTACACCGACCAATTTTTGGAATTTTATTGTCTCAAGTGTAAAAGAATTCAGAGCACCTTGTGTATTTATCTATAAAAGAATGCAATTATATGTAAGGAAAAAAACATTTATTTTCTTAAATCACATTTTACAATCAAGTTAAAGGCTTTTGACTTTGACCTTTGTGGAAGGTAAAGATGGGAAATTCTAACATTTAGCATGATTGTGATTGTACATATTATAGGCGTAATTGTGTTTTCCTTTTGGTTTAAGATTGTGTTTTCCTTTTTGGTTTAGGGTTTAGGGCTATATAATCTAGGGTCTTGTTGTAATCAAATACAATTGAATATACAGAACTTCTTCAGAATTCTTACATGCTATCAGAGCGGTTTGATGATCCGAAACCCTAGAGTCGTCACCATTGTTCTTTTGTTCGTGCCTTCTTTCTCTCAGGTTTACTCTGGTTCGACTTGGGTGTATTTCATTCTCTGATTGTTTATGATTGTTAGTCGACTCATCTGGATTCTTTGCCCGAGGTCTTCTCTTTGTTCATGACAACTATTCGACTCATCTAGCCAACTCATTTTTTCAACTCGTCGTCTTCTGTGTTCCTCTAGTTCATAATCATCTGAAGAATCTCTCTCTCTACCTCTGGTTCACGCGATCGAAGTGGTGTTTGACTTGGTCCCTCATAATCGCGTTCGGCTCTCATCTTTCACGATTGGTTTCTTTCCCTTTCTTTACTTGTGGTTCTTTGTGGGTCTCTGGGTCTCTGGTTCTTTTGTTATTATATTTTGAGCCTACCTAGTTACTATATCTCTTATTAAGGACCTTTTGCAGTTTGTAGTTTCTGTAGTTAAATTTTTTGCTTATTCCAGTTTGACCTATCTGGTTCTGGTTTTAGGTTATTACACTTGAACCCCTGAGTTTTCAAGTTATTATGATGTCTCTAGCTTCAGATGAGTCTGCTTTCTATCATCAGAAGGGCCCTTAGAAGTATCACTGTCCCAAGAAGGGATGTCGACTTGCCACATCTTCTCAGCAGTCTCAACTCCAGTTCTGCGCCCCTCCTTCGAATATTTTTCAGTCTCCCACTAGTTCTACTGCATCTGCTCCGGCTCCTAATCCTGACCTGGCTTCCTTGAGTGCTCAGATTAGTCAGTTTCAGCATATACTGTCTACCTCCCAACCATTCCCCTCCCAACCATTCCCGTCTGCCTCCATTGTTTCTTCTCTTCATTTAGGTTTGCTTGGGTCTTCTTCAGGTATCTCTTCGTCTGTCTGGATTTTTTACTCTGGTGTTTCTCATCTTATGACTCCTCATCTCTCCTTACTTCAAAATTGTATTCCCTCTCCCTTGCCTATTAATGCTAATACTACTAATAGGGCTAGTATGTGTGTTATATTTGTTGGGTTTGTCCTACTGTCTACTATCTCTATTCCATTTGTCCTTTATGTTCCTCAGTTATCTATCAGTTTGTTATCTATCAGTCAGTTTGATGCCTCTGGTTTTAATGTTATCTTTTTTTCTTCTATCTGTTCTGTGTAGGATCGGATGTCTAAGCAGCAGATTAGGACCGGCCATAGAGTTGGAGACCTCTATGTGGTGGAGAGCTTGCATCTGCCTCTAGCAACATCTCCGACTGCCTTTTTCCTCTTTTCAGTTAGATTCTCTGTCTAATTCTTTCTACTTGTGGCATTCTAAATTAGGGCATTTGGTTGTTGATCGTTTACGGTCTTTAACTTAGTTTAGTATATTGGGTAAAGTTTTTCCTAGTGAACTTACTGAATGCCGGGGGTGTAAACTTGCCAAAATGACAGCCTTACATTTTCATAAAAGTACTTCTATATTTAGGGTTGGTTTGGGGTACACTATATAATCCATCTTTTTATCTTTTTATCTTTTTTTCATCACATCACCTCTCTACTTTTCTGCACATCTTTTCGTAAAAAGATAAAAAAGTGCACTTTTTTAGGACACCCCAAACCAACCCTTAATACACCATTTTTCTTAGTTCATACTTTTGTTTGGGGCCCTTTTCCTCTTCTCACCAAAGGAGGTTCTGTGTACTATGTGTCATTTGTTGATGACTACACCTGTTACGCTTGGATTTATCTTATAACTCATAAGTCTGACTTCTACCAGATATGTCGTACTTTCCAGTCTATGATCACTACATAATTTAGGTCTACTATTAAATTGTTGCGGTCTGACTTGGGTGAGGAGTACTTTAAAACTGAATTCTGTGAATACTTGGCCAAATTGGGTTCCATTCAACAAACTTCTTGTACTGATACACCTGCTCAAAATGGTCGAGTTAAGTATAAACATCCTCATCTCCTTGAGACAGCTAGGTCTCTTTTTCTCTCTGCCTTTGTTCTAGCTCCGTTTTAGGGTGAGGTCATTCTTGCTGTTGCTTTTCTTCTCAATCGTATGCCTACCCTCCTTCTTTCTGGTCGGTCTCATTATGAGGCTCTGTTTTCTTAACTTCCTAATTACTCTCTCCTTCGTGTGTTTGGGTTTGCTTGTTTTGTCCTTTAACCCCATAAAGATACGACCAAACTTAGTGTCCGGTCTGTCCTATGTTTCTTTTTGGTATGTCTCCCACCATATTGCACTTCTCGAACGTCTTCCTTACTTTCAGTTTCTTCCTCTCACCGCTCCAGTTTCCAAAGAGGATTTGGTTCATATTGATCCACTTCTTTCTGAGGTCCCGTCTGATGAGTACATCTCCACTGTTCCTCCTGAGCTTGTTTCATCTTCTCCTTCACCTCTGGCTGCTTCTTCTCTTTCAGTTTCTTCCCCTCTCCCGTTGTTAGTATATTCTTGTCGTAAGGCTCCTCCTCCACTAGTTGTCTCTACCTCTACTACTGATCTTCTTGCTTCTGACGACTCTGATCCTGCTGCACACCAATATCCTACTCGAGCATGTCATCATCCAAACAGGTTGGGTTGGTCTAATACATGTTTTTCTGCTTCCTATTGTACTTTTTTATCTGTTCTTCACTCTTTTTTAGAACCTCAGTCTTATAAGGAGACTTGTCAAGATCCTCATTGGATTCAAGTCATAGAGGATGAGTTATCTGCTGTACAGAAAATTAGTACTTAGGAGTTGGTTCCTTTGCCTGCTGATAAGAATCTGATTGGTTGCAAATGGGTCTACAAAGTCAAGACTTATTCTGATGGTTCTCTTGAGCACTACAAAGCTCGTTTGGTTGCCAAAAACTTCTCACAGGAGTATGGTATTAATTATTGAGAGACATTCGCTCATGTTGCCAAGATGATTATTGTCCGTACTTTGATCTATGTCGCTGTTATTCATTCTTGGCCTCTTTATCAGATGAATGTTAAGAATGCTTTTCTTAATGACCATCTTACTAAGGAGGTTTATATGCATTCTCTCCTTGGTCTTCACTATTCCTCTAGCCGGGTTTGTCGTCGTCGGCGTGCTCTGTATGGTCTGAAGCAGTCTCCTCGTACTTGGTGTGATCGCTTTCAGACTATTATTACCGAGCTTAGATTTCATCCTTCTACTTCCCACTTTGCTTTATTTCTGAGACATATCTCGGCTAGTTTTGTTGCTCTCTTATTATATGTGGATAATATGATCATCACTGGGTCTGACTCTTCTGCTATCTTTGAGGTCAAGCAGCATTTCTTCTGTACCCTTCGAAATGAAGGATTTTGGTCCATTGTAGTATTTTCTTGGTATTGAGGTTGTTTATTTTCCAAAAGGCTATTTTATGTCTCAGGCTAAGTATGCTAATGAAATCATTCACCGTGCTGGTCTTACTGATACTAAGGTTTCTGATATACCTATTGAGCTTAATGTGAAGCTCAACTCTACTGATGGCGTCCCTCTGGATGATCCCAATTTATATCGCGAGCTTGTGGGTTATTTAATTTATCTAACTGTCACTCACCCTAACCTTGCTTGTGATGTTCATGTGATTAACCAATTCGTTTCCACTCCTCGCTCTACCCATTGAGCTGTTTTAGTTCGCATTCTTCGCTATCTCAGTGGTACCATCTTTCAGGGCTTATTGTTGTCCTTTACTTGATCTTTAGACTTGGTGGCCTATACTGATTAGGCTGATGATGTTTCTGATCGCAAGTCTACGTCTAGTTTTTGTATGTTTCTTGGTAATTCCTTGATCTCTTGGAAAAGTAAGAAACAATCAGACGTTACTTGCTCTACTGTCGAAGCTGAGTATTATGTTATGGCTCATGCAATTGCTGCGATTGTTTGGCTTCGTTGTCTCCTGTCTAATTTGGGTGTCTCTTAATCTTCTCTGACCTCTCTCTATTGTGACAACCACAGTGTTGTTCAGATTTCTCACAATACTGTCTTCCATGAACGGACGAAACACATTGAGATTGATTGTCACTTTGTTCGCCAGCATCTGCAATCTGGCTCTACCTCGCTTCATTTCATCCCTTCGGCTCTGCAACTTATAGACTTCTTCACTAAACCTCACACTACTGCTCGGTTTCAGTTTCTTCTTAGCAAACTCTCTGTGTGTTTTCTACTAAAACACCTTGAGTTTGAGCGGAGATATGAGCATATGTTGTGTGTATTCTAAATTTGATATGATTGTGGTCATATATATTATAGGCGTGATTGTGTTTTCCTTTTGGTTTAGGATTGTGTTTTCCTTTTTAGTTTAGGATTTAGGACTATATAATCTAGGGTCTTGTTATAATCAAATACAATTAAATATACAAAACTTCTTCAGAATTCTTACACTTTGATCTACATAATTCATGCATATATTATACCTAGTGGATCGTCATTGTCTTGAGATATGTTTAAGTGGTGCTAAAAAAAAAACTCATGATGATGAATAGTTCTACTTTGTTCTTCTTGAATAAAAAATTTATCTTTCACAGTGATTGCAGGGCTACTAAGGATTTGTTTTAGGTGTAATTACATTTTATTGTTGTGGTTAAGCCCGAAAATATGTAATCGTATTTCAAAAGCAGAGGGCTATTTGAATCCAAGGGATTGGCCTGATGACAAGGCCTTGGGTTGTGAAGGTTTACTCTCTCTAAGATTCAGGGAGCTAACAGTATCGGGTTGGGGAAATCATTGAATTAACCGTGGTACATTTGCAAGAAATTCTTTACCGAGGACTTGTGCATCCTTGAAAATTAGTTAAACTTTGATTCGGACACTTTCAATCAAAAATATATATATATATATAAAATAAAATAAAAAAGCAGAGGACTGTTTGGCATCGTTTTTATTTTACTGTTTTCTGTTTTAGTATTTTTGGAAACAAAACTAGAGTGATAGGGTAGAAAGGAGAGCTGCGAGGGGTAGAGATGAGGGGGAACAGATCATCCCAACCCTCCATATTTCCAGACCAAAAAAAGTGTTTGATAGCAACATTACCCTTGTTATTACTTTGGATAAAAGGGGAATGCTATAGACCATTAATTTATTATCACTAATTTCACTATTAGTGAGATGGCAATTGAAAAAAAAAAAAAAAAAAAGACACAAAACACATGTGGCAGTGGGTGGAATCTACTGCCACATCATTAGAGCAACCATTAACTAGTGGTTTAAAGCATTTTTGTTGGATAAAATGTAAATAATTATTATTATTGGGGTGATGTGATATGATGTGATGTGATAGGTAATTTTCATTGGAAAAAGAAGCGTGGCATGAGTGGAATTTTGATTCTGTTATTATTAAGGCTCTGTTTGGCAAGTTAGGTTGGGGTTTTTTTGACTATTTTAATCACAAAAGACAAAATAGGTTATTTTAGCCACAAAAAACAAAACATCACATCCAACTCATAATCATTACACTCTTCTCTCACAAAAAAAGTAAAAAAGTCAAAAAGCCAAAAAGTCCTTCTCAAACTAAGCTTTTTAGCCCAGGTTAAAATAGTCAAAAAAGCCAAAAAGTTAAAAAGCCAACCCACTTCCCAAACCAAGCCTAAGTTGTATAAAATATCGTTCACTCCCCACTAATTTGTCCTCTAGTCTTAGATTAGTTTGATTGGTGATTTGAAATTTATAATTTAAAACCGCACTGTGGGCGGTTGCGGGTTGACTTTTTCACAAACCACATAAATGCGTGTTGGTCAAAACCGAACCGCAAACCGCACAAAACCGATCCGCGAACACCCCTACCCAACCCTCCATATTTCCGGACCAAAAAAAGTGTTTGATAGCAACATTACCCTTGTTATTACTTTGGATAAAAGGGTAATGTTATAGACCATTAATTTATTATCACTAATCTCACTATTAGTGAGATGGCAATTGAAAAAAAAAAAAATAAGGCACAAAACACATGTGGTAGTGGGTGAGATCTACTGCCACATCATTAGAGCAACCATTAGCTAGTGGTTTAAAATATTTTTGTTGGATAAAATGTAAATAATTATTATTATTGGGGTGATGTGATATGATGTGATGTGATAGATAATTTTCATTGGAAAAAGAAGCGTGGCATGAGTGGAATTTTGATTCTGTTATTATTAAGTTGTATAAAATATCGTTCAATCCCCACTAATTTGTCCGCTAGTCTTAGATTAGTTTGATTGGTGATTTGAAATTTATAATTTATATTTAAAATCGTTTTATGTCGCTATGGTTAATATATATATATATTTATTTATTTATTTTTAATGAAATATTAAAATAAAATAAAAAAGAGTATAAGAGAAATTTAAGATATAAAATTTGTTACAAATTAATATTATATATAAAAATATTATTTAAAATTAGTTAGTGTTATATATATGAAAAATATCATAGAAATTAGTATTATATATTATTCAAATATTTTATAATAGGTTAAGATTAATCTTCAATCAATTAATAAATTGAAATCGCTCAAAGCATCCAAATTGCAGTTTGATTCTTTGCTATTTTGTAATTCACGATTTAAGATTGTTGTTTATTTTAATTTTAATATAATTACTTTTTATGTTCTAAAAAAAATATGAAAGTTCATGTAAAGCCCCTCAAAATTATATATGGGGCATTTATTTATAAATTTGTATTCACCTATTTATATTTCACTTAATCCACATTTGTTCTTATGTTTCAATAAATTTTATGGGTGATATAGTTAACAATATGAATATTTACATTAATAGTGTAAATGTTCCATAATGTGAATATTCACATTATCAATGTAAACATTCACACTGTAAAATATGAATATTCACATCACTGAATTGTTAAATGTTTAAAAAATATTTGTAAGAGTATAATTATCTATAAAATATCTTAAATATGAGAATTAGGATTTTGTGAATTAAATTTCCAAATAATAAAAGTTAATAAAATATAAGAATATGTTAAGGATTAATTAAAATATAAACACTTAAAAAAAATTGCTAATAGGGGTCCGTTTGGGAAGAACTAAAGTGGGTTTTTTTTGGCTATTTTAGCCACAAAAGACAAAATAGGCTATTTTAGCCACAAAAAAACAAAACATCACCCAACCCATAATCATTACACTATTCTCTCACAAAAAAAGTCAAAAAAATCAAAAAGTCAAAAAGTCCTTCCCAAACCAAGCTTTTTAGCCTAGGCTAAAATAGCCAAAAAAATCAAAAAGTCAAAAAGTCAGCCCACTTCCCAAACGGAAGCCTATTAATACATCTATAGATACATAACTAATCACATAAAATGATTATACATAGTTGTGTATGTAAATTTATTTTTTTTTATTTTTTATTTTTTTGGTACTTATTATTCAAAGTAATTATTGTACTCCACTTTCTTTTTTCTTTTTTTTTGGGTTGAGAAAAGGGATCACTATTGTTTGTTTCTACTTTTCAAAAAAATACTTTTCAGAAAATTTTATTTTTTTATTCTCTGTGTTTTTTTGTTTTTACTGATGTTTTTTAATATTTTAAACAATTTTTTTACTTTTTAGACACATCTAACATAAATACACCTAAAAAGTAAAAAAAAAATCGTAAAAAAAATCTTTTAAAAATTCACTAAATACCAAAAATATAAAAAAAAAATACAAGAATTCAGTACATTTTTTATATTTTTATGTATTTACTAATTTTTTTAAATATTTTTTCACAAATTTTTTACTTTTTAGATAGATCTAAGTAAGGTGCATCTAAAAAAGTAAAAAAAAAATGTTTAAAATTTAAAAAATATTCACTAAAAACAAAAAACACGAAAACTAAAAAAGTCAGTTTTCAAAAAATTTAATCGAAAAAACTCAAACCAAATACACTGATACAATGGCTGTAATAGCTGTGGTGATACGATTGCAGTTATAAGGTACAAAGGCCGTAACGTAACGGTTGCGGTAATTGAAATCGTAAATTTTTTTTTTCCATATAATTTGAAAAAAACTTATCCTGATATGCATATATATATTTTTTTCCAGAATCACATTTATTGGGGTTTGAAATAGATTTTGACTAATTTTTGTTTGTTTTTAAGTATGATTCAATATATTTTATATTTTAAAATCACTATAAAAACAATTTTTTACATTTTATTTTAATAGTCAATGACTTTATATGTCATAAATTAATATTGTACATCTTATTTTTATTTATTTTTTAGAAAATAATTGATTTTAAATGTCTACAAAATTATTTTTGACCAATATCCTAAACTAACTAAATAAGAAATATTTACATTTATTAAATGAAATAATTATAAAAATAAAAATTGAGATATAAACAAAATTATTTTTAAAAATAAAAATTGAGATATAAACAAAATTATTTTTGTGCTACTAAATATTGCAGAATGTATAAAACGTATATTTTGTAAGTTTTTTTTTTTTTTTTAAAGGAAGTTGTTCAGAATATTGTAAATGTGTGTAACGGTGTATAATAGGCCGTTACGATATTACTACGGCCATTACGTAACACCGAAATGACTATTACATATATAAATTTCCGTCACACCACTAATGCCTACCGCCAAAACTGTTACGTAATTGCTGCAACCATTACGCAATATCGTTTTTTAAACCCTTGATCATGATCAATGAAATTAATAAAAGTTAAATAAATGTCTCATTTTTCTTTTCTTTTCCTTTTTCTTTTTCTTTTTTTCTTTTTTATTCGTGTAGAAGAGATGGGTTTCAATAAAGTGAAACATTTAGATTCTGTTTGGTTTAAGTTTTAAATCATAATTTCACCTTTATATTTGAATGTTATGCTTGATTTAAGTTTTAAAAAATTGATTTCAATGTCATGTTTGAATACATATTCCAATGTATGTTTGGCAGAGTAGAGTTTTTGAATTTTAAATTTTGAATTTGCGGAACTCGGTCGTCCATCCGGACATCCCGGACGTCCAGCCGATTGACTGGAATAGTTTTTTTTTTTATATATATATATATATATATACAATTGCAACCTGTTATTTGAAAATAAAAAAAATTATATTTGTTTTTTATAATTTTAAAATATAAAAATTATTTTTTTAGACCGTTTTTAAACAAAACAATTAAAAAAAAATCCAACCAAATATATAATGAAAAGTACTTTTAAAGTACTATATGGATATTTTTTTTAACAAAAATAATATATATTTTTTAATACTTTAAATTAAAAAAATTGGAATTTTTAAATTTTTTAAATAAAAAAATTATTTTTTTGAATTAAATTTGAAAAAAAGTTTGGCTATGAGTTTTGAATTGAATTTTCAATAAAATTTTGAATTGTGTGTTTAGTTATGAGTTATAAGTTTTTTAATTAAATTTTAAAAATTCTTTTCAAAACTCATAACTAAACAATCTTTTTCATTTCAAAATTCATTTCAAAAATTCAAAATGCAATTCAAAACTCTTTTTAAAACTCATAACTAAATAAATTTTTCTTTTCAAATCATGATTCAACAACTCACAAACTCAAAATATAACTCCATTCTCAAATCATAATTCTAAAACCAAACCAAACGCTATCTTAGACTTCAAATTTACAAATCTAATCAATCATTATTGGTTAAAACTAAAAATAACAAGATAATTGTGGAACCATTAGGTTTATTTTGAAAAATAAGTAAAAAAAAATTAATTTATTGACTTTTTTAATATATATATATATATATATATAATAAAAAAAATAACATAATTCAAATAAATTAATAAATTCAAATTTTTTTTTTTTAATTATCAAAATAGACCTCAACGGGAATCCTCTCATGGCAGGGGGTTTCTGGCCCATTTCTAGCCATTACTAGTGAGGGTATAACTGGAAAGGTAAAAATGACAGCCAGCCAGTCATGTGCACTGGGGATAGTAGTCCTTAAAAAGTACCATTAGCAGAGGACACTTTTTTCGTGGAGAATCTTGCTTTCCCACAAAACGGAAATGGAGATGAGGTTCAAACTGAGAATTTTGTAACATTGGCTTAGCCAACTAAAAGCATTTTGAATGAAGATGTTCTGAGTATTTTAGTATTGAAATTTTGGAGTTTCAATAGAACTGTTAAGTATTAACTGTGTCAGATTTTACTCTTTGTTGTTAATCGTGTGGTGACTGAATTAGCAAAAATTACCGACACATTTAAAGGAAATAAAATTTAAGCAACCACAATAAGGACTTGGCATTCCAGATTTGTGCACAGCTAGGTCACTAAAGGCCACAAAGAAGCCTTCCTTTTTTTCTTTTTTTTTTTTCTTTTTTTGGTTGAACAAGTGTCCGGTCCAACTTAACTTACGCACATCTCAACCAATTCCCTTCCCGGTCTAGCCAAAGGCAGGCCATTCACGCCGAGATTAGGAAATTCATAAGAAATTTCTTTCTTGTATCATCAACACCACTTCTCATTCGACTGAAAATAAAATGTATATAAATATTCTTGTTTTTGAGGTGCAATAATATTTTTTCTACTAGATTTAACAATTACATTAATTTTCAGTCATGAAAATTCTAACCATACAGTGAAATGAGCATTGCGGAGAGGGGGGAAAAAATTATACATATATGCAAATTGATTTATGAGAAATGTAATCAACACACTAAAATGAATGTCTTAAGAACAAAATTACACAACAAAGCGATCAACCTAAACCCCTAAACTTGAACAGAACAAGGGAAAGCTTTTGCTTTGAAGAACTAGCCAGTCTTAACAGTATAACGGTTGTTTAATTTGTTCCCTAATTCTGAAGTGCTTGAATTTTTTGTTTTTTTGGTCATTCCATAATTCAGTTTTCACACCATCACTTCATAGGAGGAGCTCTGTAATATGCAGGAACCGTAGCGGGGAAAAACATCTGTCTCACTCCTTCTGCCTTGATGATCGGTAAGATGATACCAGAAGCACCCTGTGATGACACAGAAATTTTAGAATTTAAGAATGGAACACATTCAGCTAAAAAAATTTGGTTTAAATAGAAAAAAAAAAAAAAAAGTTAACACACCGAAATCAATTTGGCTCCAATCCACATGCGTTTAGGAGAGGGAAATGGCAATAACAAGCGACCAACACCAAATATAGCCACGGCAAAGAAATGGAGAACCAAGGTCAATGGGCGAGGGTTTAATCCTGACAATAAAGACACTGGTCCTGTCGAACAAACACCTCCAAGGCTTAAATAATCAAAGCAAGCTTCACGCATTTCCTTTCTTGCTTGATCGGGTGAAGCACAAAACACCTTATAGAGGGCACCAGCCAATGTATTTATTGTGGATGCTACGGGCTGCAAATAAGAACATCAAGAGACAATTAGTTAGAAAGTCAATAGGCATTTTCTTTCTTAATCAACAAGCTATAGCACGTGCACTAGGAACATGCTGTCTCTGTATGCAGCTAACCTTGCGCAAGGTGTAAAAGGATTCAAGATATCTGCAAAGAGTAGGTGCATCATTTAGGTCACGCAGAGGCTTAAGAAGATCACGTAGCACAACAATATCAGATAGTGCAACGGTCATTCCTCCACCAGTCAAAGGGTGCCTCATGTTGAATGCATCCCCCATCAGTAAGGCCCCCGGGGTTGGATGAGGAGCAGCAGGCATGCTTCTGTTGGACATTGTCCTTATGTTTCCTTTGTCTATAGCAGCGATAAAGGCATCATGCAACTGAGGAGGAATCTGAAACAGAGAAGTTTTATATGAGTCCAATATGCCGGTGAAATACAGTCTCATGTAATTCTACAAAAACAAACACACAACAATAAGGCAGTCATGTATATACCTGGGGAGCAACCATAGTCTTCAAATACTTTTCCATTTCACCATTTGAAATAGAAGGAACCTTTTGACCAGGTACATCAACAAGACAGCGAACCTCTGTGCTACTAATAGGATAAAACAAGATTGGAGATGGGTCTGCTAGAATAACATGCCCGTGATTTGCATATGGAAGTTCGCAGTTCTCTAGCACCAAACCAACAAAACAAGAGGGCACTTCTACCTGCAGATGATAATATGAAATCAGATGATAATATGGTTGTACACAAATTCAATGAGACATTGCGTTTAATCCAAGCATGTGACACGGAAAAAAAAGTGTTTGACCGGTTTTACTGACTAACAGGAAAAAACAGAGAAGATAACTTGCAAGTCATCCCCACCTTAGGTTTGCAAAGAGATCGGCGCAGGTTTGAAAAGCAGCCATCACATACAATGGTCAAAGGTGCATATGCTGCCAGTTCTTCACCATTTTTAGTCTTGTATTGCACACCTTTAATAGTACCATTTTCTTCAAGCAGAGATGTCACTGTTCCTTGCTCCAATTGAACACTACAGAAAATTGAGAAACAAGGTTTAACGAACAATTAGCAGAGAGAAAATATTTACAAATTGAAATTCAATTATACGTTACAAGAACAAAATCAAAATCTGCAATAGGAAAAAAAGACATACTTGGGAAGGGTTGCAGCTTTCTCCCGCATTCTTTGGATGAAACGCCCATTGTGAAAGCTCCTTCCCGATACATCTGAGTGAAACTTCTCCAAAGGATAAGAGAGTTTGGTGTTCCTTCCATCCTTGAAAAGAGCATACCCAAACACCCGCTGAGCATCAATTTTCTCCACACAATCTGTAGTCAAAAATCAAACATCACATGGTTCATTCAACAACCAGCCATATATGACAAGTAAAGGAAGGCTTATTAGAAGTCCAATGTTTTACTTGATTTATGTTTATTATTTTTATAAGTGCAACCCCTACCTTCAAGTCCCAACTCAATTAATTTGAGGTAGCCGCCTGGTTGAAGCAGCTCTCCAACAATCCGGTCAGGCTCAGTCAAATCTCTTTCAATCACATGAACCCGACGCCCATCCTGAAATTCATAACACAAAATCAGTTTGCATCGCACTCAAAAATTCATATGTATTTTGAATTACTAAGCAACATCAGACCATGCAATCTTCAAATTCATCTTGGCACACAATCAAATAACCGAGATGTTCGATGTCTTTCTGTTGGCTCCTTGGGATTTTAGAATATTATCTTTTTTTTATTATGATATCTATGAATTGGTTAATTAAGAAATAAGATATAATAATAAGCAACCAATTGAAAGACTGAAAAAAATGAAACAATAAATTAATGCAGCTACAATTGAACTGTCAAATAAAATCTGCTAACTAAAATGTTATAAAAAATAATTTTTTTTTTTTAAAAAAAAAAGGCTTGGCCACGATTGCTACACCGGAATCAGCATACTATCTTAGCTTCCAAAGCCATGTTATATTGATTTTTCACCACATATACAGATGTGTTAACAGAAAATAATTCGAAAGCCAGAATTTTCATATATAAATTCATCCAGATAATGATATGACAGCGACTTTTTGCAATCATAAATGTTTTGTAGCAAGTGTTTTGCCTTGGATTTGATCGACATCAAAAGTTCAAATGATTATGTATAGCAATAATTGAATTAAAATAAACTATTGAAGCTTGGTAATGAAAAATCAACACTTCATTCATAGAGTGTAAATTGTGCGCATTATTCTTAATTAATCTCATCAACTAGATTCAATGATCTGATGCTCCAATTAGAACTCCTAAGGAAAAAAAGCATATTCATAAACACGTACGTAAACAGAGATAAACATATATAGATCGATGTAGATATACAATGCGAAGCTCACAGACAAAGAACAAATTCAAATCAACGAATCACGAGAGAAAGAGAGAAGGAGCATACCTTGCCGAGAGTATGAGCGAGAGCGGCACCAGCAACTCCGGCGCCGACGATGATGACGTCAACGTCGTTCTTGGATCTACATTCTCCATTAATCGCCGTCGTCGTCGTCGTGGAGGTGGTGGTGGTGGTGGTCTCATCTCGGCCATTTCGCTTCACGAACAAGTTGTACAACAGCGCCAGCCCTATCACCGAGGCCAATATCGAGCCTAGCATGTACTGATCCACCATTTTTCCACAGAATGCAAATCTGAAAAATTTTGAGAATGAGACGACAACGCCGGCTCGTCCTCCTCCGGCCGCCGCTCTCTTTCTCTCTCTACTTTCTCGCCCTCCAAACACGTTTCTCTCTCTCCTCCTTTTTCTCTTGCCTCGCTGGCTTTTTTTGGCTCTGTTTTTTTTTTTTTTTGCAAATCCAATTCATTTTTATTTTTTTTTTTTGAAAGTTTAAAATATGATACTGGTTTTGAGGACGAGTGACTCTGAGAGTTTCCAGGACAGCTGGGCCTTTTTATAGGCCTCTCATGCCAAACTTGTGTGTGATACTCTGTGATCAGACCTATGCTAAGACTCGGTAGTTATTGAATTTATTCATTTTTTTATAATAGGAAAGTCGTGGTTGTTGCCGAATTTTATTTTTATATTATTCTATCAAAAGCTTGTAATAAGAGAAACGAGATCACTTCTTGTAACAAAATTGCTTTAGAGCTCTAAAAGAGCACCTCTAAACTAGCATTAAATTATCTTTTAGTGGCTTTTGTTTTGTCTTTTTCTATTTTTTTTTTTTTTTAATTGGGTGCCACCTCATTAGAGCCAGCTCTAGTTAGAGCTCTCAATCACTCCCCCTTCTTGTAATCATCTCATAGTCCTCTATTCCTAAGGATCTGCACTCACTAAAAATAATATAAAAATGTGTTTTGTATGTATACATTGTATTTGTTGCATATTTATGTTAAAATTTACGAAAATGAGCCGTAGCTCGAATCCAATGGCTCGAATTGGTTAAAAAAAGGGAGAGAAGAGAGGAGGAAGAAGCAGAGGAGAAAGAGGGAGAGAACAGAGGAGAAAGAACAGAGGAGAAAGAGGGAGAGAGGATCGTCGCTGCTCGCCTCGCCACCGCCACCGTCGTCGCCTCGCTGCCGCCGATCGTCGCAGCACTAGCGATCGCCGGCTCTGCCTCGCCTCCGCCCCCCGGCCCCCGCTTCCAGCCCCAAATGTTGGGCCCCCTCCAGTCCCTCCTCCTTCCTCCTCCTCCTCTCCTCCTCCTCCTCTCTCCACTGCTTCTGGTTCTGCTTCACCTTCATCTAAAAAATGAGGCCGTTTTTGAATTCGAGCCATTTCGAGCCGCTCGATTTCAAATTACCTATCGCTGCCGAAAAATTTAAAAGAACTCGTAAAATTCATGGAGCGATATATATTATTATGCTTTTCTTTGTTTTTATTTCTTTTTACTATTGAGGAACCTCTGGATACTATTTTAAACTAATTTCAAATAGTAAAATTTGAGTAGGCGTAATTACCTATGAACTTACCAAAATATTGAGTATAGAGTGTTTGAAATTAATTTGCTTTTATAATTTTAAATGACAAAATAACAAGATTAGTCATAATAACTATTCAAAATACAATTTATTATTTTAACTAGTCATTTTTATAGTGCACACTATTATAAGATTATCTATTTTAACTATATTTGTTAAAATATTTTTTTATTTATATTTTCAAATTAGCCGTTGAATAAGGGTAGAGAAAAGGAGAAGAAAAAAAAATATATAAAATTCAAATAACTAGCCAACTTTGACTAGCAAATGTAAATCATTGCTAAACTAACTAATCTCAAACTATACTATTGGAACTTATTTTGTGCAAAATGGCTAACTACTTTAGTTTAGAATAAAAATTTTACTAGTCAGCATCCACATTAGACTAGTTATTTTCCTCATTTAGTTATTGTAGCTAGTCCAAATCTTTAAAATTCATCTCCAATAATCTGGAAGTGCTACTTAAGCTTCGTTTGGGAAGTGGGTTGACTTTTTTACTTTTTCAACTATTTTAACCTGGGGTTAAAAAGTTTGATCTAAGGACTTTTGACTTTTTAAATTTTTTTGTGAGAAAAATAATGTAATGATTATACATTGGATGTGATATTTTATCTTATTCGATTAAAAAACTTATTTTATTTTTTATGACTATTTTAACTAAAAAATTCTCAAATCCAACTTTCCAAACGTAGGCTTAAGTTGGCTTCATGCTACAACACCTAGCTAAAACTCACCGAGCACTGTACATTAACCTTACAATTTTTTTATCAATTGATTCCTCTATTAATCCATGATTGTAATTTCACGTAGAAAATGGGATTGGACTAATGATGATGTAGGTTCCACTTAAATTTTATTTGGTTGGAATAAAATGTACATACGCTTGTATGAGTAAGGAAATTATTATTAATACAATAGGATTGAGTAGATTGAGTGAGATGACAATTAATATAGTACTATAAAAGATAAATTGTACTTGTTATAGGGTTGGTTTGGGAAGTGGGTTGATTTTTTGGCTTATGATTTTTTTAACTATTTTAGCTTGGTTAAAAAGCTTGGTTTGGGAAGAGTTTTTTAGTTTTTTTGACTTTTTTTGTGAGAGAAGAGTGTAATGATTATGGGTTAGATGTGATGTTTTGTTTGTTGTAGCTAAAATAGCTTATTTTATCTTTTGTGATTAAAATAGCCAAAAAAACTCACAAAACCACTTCCCAAACGGTGCCATAATCTATAAAAGATAAATTGTTTATAACTAGTATAGTGGTATAAAAGATAAATTGATTGAGATTAAATTTATAAAATTACATACAAAAATTTGTTATTTTTATAAAGTGAGGCAAAATAATTATTTCACCTCCAGTCCCAAGAGATTAGATTTCAATATAACATCCCATGGGATTACTAATTCCCTCTTTAGAGGGATTTCATAGTTCCACAAACTCTTAGGCCTCGTTTGAAAATAGGTTTTTTATTTTTTTGACTAAAATATGACGTAAAAGATTAATATGTTTAGAATGATTTTTTGATTTTTTATAAAAAGATATATAAAAAGTAGAGAGAAAATAGAATCTTTGACTTTTTTATACATGTTGTTGACTTTTTAATTTTTTTAATAATTTTTTAACTTTTAAATTAAAAAATAATATTGTCAAAGGAGACATTAATCTTATAATAATTTTTCAAAACAAACATAATTTTTGTGGACTCACTTCACTACTAATCTGATCCGCTCATTCACCTCTCAAAACGGCGAAATAATTATTTCACCTCCAGTCCCAAGAGATTAGATTTCAATATAACATCCCATGATTACTAATTCCCTCCTTAGAGGGATTTCATAGTTCCACAAACTCTTAGGCCTCGTTTGAAAATAGGTTTTTTATTTTTTTTGACTAAAATATAACGTAAAAGATTAATATGTTTAGAATGATTTTTTGATTTTTTATAAAAAGATATATAAAAAGTAGAGAGAAAATAGAATCTTTGACTTTTTTATACATGTTGTTGACTTTTTAATTTTTTTAATAATTTTTTAACTTTTAAATTAAAAAATAATATTGTCAAAGGAGACATTAATCTTATAATAATTTTTCAAAACAAACATAATTTTTGTGGACTCACTTCACTACTAATCTGATCCGCTCATTCACCTCTCAAAACAAAAACAAAAAAAATGTGAAGAGTCAGGATTCACGATCCAATCTCATGAGATTGAAAGTGAAAAGACATAATTACTTCCACCTTACAATAAAAAAAGTCATTTTTTATATATAATAAGACCTTTTATATAATTTTATAAATTTAATCTCAACCAACTAATATCAAACTTAACGGGTTCGTTTGGTTTGTATTTCTGAAAAAATTTTGAGAAATTTTCTCTACAAATAAATTTTTGAAAGTAATCAAACCAAACAAATTTTTTCAAAAAAATTTCTCAAAACTTGTAAACCAAACAAGTTTTCCAAACAAATCTCTCTCACACACACATCAAATCAATCACTTTTTCTAAAACTCTCTCTCAAAATAATTTTCCAAAACAGCTTTTGAAAAAAACCAAACCAAACAACTTTTCGTACTTTTTATCTCCAAAACACATCTCTCAAACACAAACCAAACATACCCAACGTGTTTTAGATAATATGACCTTATTTTATTAATTTATTATAAAAAAATAAAAAATGAAAAAAACAGCCGCATTGTTAGAAGGCGTATAGGAAAATTGACTAACTGAAAAAATATAAGAAAATATTTAAGGGCCATAATTTTTGTGGCCACAATGGCTCAAAACTATCAAAACGACGTCGTTTTAGATGCAAAACATGCTAAAACGACGTCGTTTTGATAATTTTGAGCCATTATGCCCACAAAAATTGTGATCCTCTAACATTGTTGAAAAATATATATATACTGTTGAAATATATATATATATATATATATATATATATAAAAATGAATCTTGGCTGCTATTTTGACTAACCATGCAATTGAGGATTACGAAGTGGCCCTCATATTAGACTTCAGACTTGTACTAAGGTATTTAATAAGACAACAAATTGGTATAATAATGTGGGGTTTAGTATTTAGAAAAGATTAAAAAGAAAAAAAGTAAAAAAAAAAAATTATGGGGGGTTTTGGGTGGATGCTAATATTTAGCAGAGTATTAAAATAGTAATTTCTTTAGGAAAAGGAATAATAATAATAAGAACAAATAAAAAACAGAAAGCTTGGTGGCATGGTGTGCGCTGAATGAATGCCAGGATTGGCTTATTTATGATTTGAAAGTGAAGTTCGAGTATATATTATTTTTATCAAATGGCAACTATATATATATTTATTTAAAAACCATGGGTATTAATTCAAGGGGCATCAATAAAACTGGTGTATTGGTCAAAGTCCTTCTTTCTCACTTTACGTTACACTATTATTTTGGCTAAATTATTAATAAATCTTAATAATTGAATTTAATTCTCATCCAATCATGTTGAAGATAAGTCTTAGTAAAACCGTTATTAAAAAATAAATTTTTTATGACCATTTTTAAAAAAATCGCTAAAAATTAATAATTAATGACTTTTTTTCATGATTTTTATAAATTGTCACTAAATCTTACAATTAATAACGTTTTTTCGTGACGAATTTTTTAAACTGTCGTTGAAGGTTATAAATTAGTGACTTTTTTGTGACAATTTTTTCAAACTGTCGCTAAAACTTATAATTAATGATATTTTTTGACAAAATTTTTAAACTGTCGCTAAAAATTAACAATTAGTAATGTTTTTAAATAGTGTTTAATGAAAAATGTCATTAATTATTATGAGACCTATTGGATAATAAGCCAACTTGTTAGGACCTACGCGTAAGTC